CTGCGGCAGTGCCGATAGAAAACGGCAGCTTTTTGGCACTGCGGCAGTGCCGATAGAAAACAGCAACTTTTTTTGGCACTGCGGCAGTGCCAAATCGGCACTGCGGCAGTGCCGATAGCCACTACCGCGGAGCACACGTCTGTCAAGACTAAAATGTAGGCTAGGCTAGTGCCAAATGTTCATTTTGCGTTTTTGTATAGCCTAGGCCTAATCCGCTTGCTTGTGGGTAAACTTGGAAGATGGGCTCAGACAATTTCTTCAGTCTCGTTTTACATAAGATTTCGTTGTATTGTTTGGAAATATGTAATATTGATTTTAGGAATTGTTGCACTAGGCCTATTGTAATCATGGAATATACTTCCATGGTTAATACATCTGTATAAACAAAATAGATTTTTTTCAAATCTCAATCAATTTATTATCCGTAACTATTTATATTTAAGTGACAGCGGTGATGGCACGTACTACACGCGGACGATAGCTAGGCTAGGCCTAGCCTAGTAAAGACAATCGTTTTGACCACTTAGATTGTGACGCCAGTAAAAGATAAAATTTAACAGAATCCGTGGTTGATCTTTTATTATGTGAATTTAATGTATGAAATGTTATTTTAATCTTGATTATATAACATCTCCCAATAACGAACTCTCGATTTTACGAGCCGAATTTGCCGCGATTACGTCATTACGAACGATCGTTTTTAACTACAAAAACACTTACAATTGCATATAAAAGTCCTTAAAAATAATATAAAATGTTGTATCAATTAAGAAAGAAAATATTTAGATCTATATATTACATTCGAGCTGTGCATGCTTACTCAGGCATTGGCCTACTGTACATTAAATCTCACTTTGTTAATTGAGGGCGCTATTTGCATGGATTCACAAAAGCCGTAGATAGAGGAGTGTGGCCATCTTGGCGCATGGGCGCCATGTTGTCACCAAACAGCGTGTGCGCGTATAGCTTTATAACATTTTATAATAATATCTTTGTAAGTATACACTTAAATAAAATTGTAATGGACAAAAATGTTCAGTATCAAATTACATTCACATTATTTTCAATATTTCCTTGTTTATTATGCATCTACCATTTTGCATTTTAATAGAATAGCACCAACAAACCAAATGCTACCAAAATGTTTTTTTTTTTCAGAATGTTGAAATTGTCAAAAACCCATAATTAATTCATTTTCATCACACACGTATAGTTACTAAAGCTTTCTTTAGGACATAAAAACATTAACTTGCCTTCAAATCATTAATTATAAAATGAATGTCAACAATATATCTACAAAGCTTTGGAATTTTACCACACAAATTTTCAACTATTCAAACTGCTCTAGCCTTACTTCAACTATAAAAGGCCATACTACACATCCACCTATCACCCTATATTTTAATGACGTTTTTTTTTTTTTTTTTCAGAGATAAAATCACTATTGTTACAGACAATGGTCTGCAAATTAATACCACTCCAGATATGTTCACTCAGGCAGGTGTCACCGTCGAACAGTTCATCTCCACTACTCCAGTAGAAGTGAAATTAACCGTCACAAATAATAACGTTACAATGTTAGAGCTATAAAAAAAATTAAAAAAACATAAAACGTAGTCTACATTTTAGTTTTTTCATGTTTATAACCAGTAATTTACTGTTCGATTTATCCAAACAGTTATTTTTTAAATAAGTTATTGAATTCATCTAATATGTTCAAGTTTTAACGCATCTTAACTGTTTGGTTAATTTTCTTCTAGTATTTGCAATTGATTATTGTCTTCTTTTAATCAATCATTTCCTACAAATAATTGTTTACAAAATCAGTTTTTTAGTTTCTTCTGCTATTAGCACTCCATTATTCTCTTTTTATAACCTATAGCTTACAAAATTGCCAATTTCATATTATCTGGCTAATTACAATTATACTCGCCTACCAAAGCAAATACAAATAAAAAACATTTTTTTCAAAAATAAGCTACTACATTGATCCAATATATCCAGAAGTTTCAACAAAGGTTCAAATATTCTGTTTTTATAACAATTAAGTTATTACAAAAAATTGTTTCAAAGTCAGTTATTTGCTTAACTAGCAAACAAATTCTAAATATTAGTAAACTTGCTCCTAGTATTGGCAATCGATTAATGTGATTTTATAACCAATACTTTTCTACAAAAAATTGTTTCAAAAATGAGTTGATCGCTTAACTAGCTGGCAATATTCCACATTAATTATGTTTTCATAACCAGTAATTTACTGATTGGTTAATCCACTGTTTTAATGAAGTTGTATTTTATAATATGCTAGTCAAAATTACCAATCACATATTGTAAGGCTAATTGCCATTATACTCACCTACCAAAGCAAATGCAATGCAAATAGTTATTGCATTGACCCAATCATTTATTGTAAGTTTTAAACATATTCTAAATGTTTAGTTAACATGCTCCTAGTATTGGCAATCGATTATGTTTTTATAACCACTAATTTACTGTTCGATTTTTCCATTTCTTACTGAACTTCTATTTTATAATATGCCAGTCAGAATTACCGAAGCATAATTACAATTATACTCGCCCACCAAAGCAAACGGAACTTCTGAAAAGTTATTAATAAGTTATTGCATTGATCTAATAACTAGGTTTAGAAAATAAGTTGTTTTGTAAGTTATTGCATTGATCTAATAACTGAGTTTAGAAAATAAGTTGTTTTGTTAACTAGCTGCCAGTATTGGCATTCGAGTATTGTAGTTTTATAACCAATAATTTAATGATTGGTTTATCCATTTTTAGTGAGGTTGTATTTTATAATAATATGCTAGTCAGAATTCAAAATCACATACCATACACCTAATTGCCATTATAACTATCTACCAAAGTAAATACAACTAAAACAGAATGTTCGAAAATAAGATGCTGAATTAGTCTATTCTCTTCACAGGTTTTAAAACATATTCATACTTGCTGATCATTTTATCCACTTCTATAAAGAAGTTGTTGTTGCAACCAATAATTTAAAATTCTTTCAATAAGTAGTTCAGTTAACTTCATACCAGTATTGGCAGTTTTTATTGTATATAAATTTGTTAATAAAAGTACATATACAAATAAACTACATCAGCACTTTTCTTTATAATGTTTGTTCTTCGATAAAGCACGAGATTACCATTCAATATACAACTTATTTTCATATCTTTTTCACCAATCAGAAGCCATATGAAATTCAAAATATAAAAATAACATTACAAATGCAGCATGCACCATCATAAAAATTCACAAATACTGTATACACTAAACCCTAAAATTACCATCAATTTCCACTAAACCACCCATTCTAAGTTACACTAAACAAAAAAGCTAATTACCCACTACCAACATACATTAGCATTGCATTTCAAACACTGTTGGCAAAGCTCATCGCCACTTATTTCCCCACACTACACTTAAACTTCCCTAATTCGACTAAGCCTAAGTCAAATAATTTCTAAGTCAATCTTAATTTTACATACCAAATTCTTGTCTTCTATTAATCTGTAAGTCAAATGTCATCTATCATCTAAATCAAACAACATTTCAATGGCATTTTAGATTCGACTTCTGAAAAATTCAACTGTATATATATAACAAGTTACTATACCACATTAAACTTCCAACCAATTGCACTTAACCACATAATGTAATATCGCCTTCCCATATCACATTCCATAACAAGTGATTTCACTATTTCCTTCAATCAACCTGAACTTAGGTTAATGCCTGTGAGTTTTGGGCTATTAGCCCTCTAGTTGAAATATCCGGTGTAGACTGTTTGACCTTAAATCACTTTGATTGGTCCTCACTCGCACACCCCACCATAAAATGATATTAAATATTAGGAGGCACATCCTTGATATATGGCCTATGCTTCGACCAAAGTGACGGCCAGTAAAAACAGGGCAAAAAAATAGGAAAAATATATGCAAGAAAAAATCAGAACAAAAACAATGACTTTTTCTAGTATTTCTGGGAAACGCCAACAACAGTAACAACTAGGGCAACACCTCTGCGTCCGCCACTGAGGCTAGTCCGTGACTACTCCAGCACCCTCATTGTTTGCCGATTAGACAGAGAATTATTTTTCGCACACTTTCCATCACATTTTGTTCAATTAATTGCCAAAACAGTACCCTGCCCATATCTGTACTCTTACCTCTTTGCAGCAATATCGCCATGCCCATAATCTTCGTTCACTATCGTTCATGTGGTTCACTCTACCTTCGTATACCTCAGTCCAATAAGATAAGGCCTTTTCAATTGCTTCATCTCCTAGAAATAGTCTTCCTAGCGAGTTACAACATGCTGCTAGTTGTCTTGATTTTTGTCGGCTTCTCAAGAAACATTTGTTCTTTAAGTAGATCTCATTTAACTGTCCAAATTTCTTTTCTGTCGTTTCTGGTGTTTTTGTTGATCACCAAGGGTTAACTTTTTTTTAATTTGTTGTGCCTGGCATCCCTTTGCAAAAGGCGTGGTACAAGTTCCTGCATTATTATTACGAATGAGTCGACATATCTGTTTGTTCTGTGATTTTAACCTTTTACCTAATGTGAGCCTTGAGTAGGATCTCAGTGCAGTACGTATAGCCTAATCAGTGAGCAATGAATTTCTGTTGTTTAAAATTCATTATAAAAAATTAATCAGTTAGGCCTAGATTTAACTTAATATTGGCATATTGGCATTCAGATTCTGAATTGATGCTAGGGGCCTAGGCCAGGGCCTAGTTAGGCCCGGGGAGAGGCCTATAAGGTTGAGCGATGTGCACAAAGAATGGTTAAGGTAGGCCAGGGCTTGGGAGATGTGGCGCAGTTGAACTATTTTAAAACACAGGATTGTTTCTATTGTTTTGTCGACTTTCTTTATTAGATAAATATGCCCTACATTGGCGGATCCTGTTTGCTGGAGGAGAAAGAGTCGGGTGGGGTGTGGAAAGACTATGCAGCAGTCAAATAAATCAGTTCCCACGAGTTTGCCATGAATCATTTGGCCAAGATACAAATCGGGGAAACTCCTTCACGTTATCCTGGAAACACATGTATCTGCCCCTGGTCTGTAGTGGTAGGGGACGCCACTATTAGTGACTAAATGACACCTCACAACCCCACCACCATCCGACCCCGGTAACTAATACCTTCTATTTTCTTTTCCGGTGCCCCCTATA